GGGTACTGCGTACCCCCGCTAAATCTTTTGGGGGTACGCAGTACCCCTCCATACCTCCTTACTTTCACCCCTGGTTAACAGGAATCCAGCAACGCCATCGAGTCAGATTAGGAATATAAAAAATAAAAAATAAAAAATGTAGGTTTGATACAGAAAAGTGAGCAGTTAAAACCGTTACTAAGGGAGTCGCATGGCGCAGTTATGGGCACCACATAAAAAGAAGGTCGTGACCTCAACGAGGTGTCCCGAGTTTGACTTACGGCCTCAGTTCCTGTGCCGCATGTCCCCCGCTCCCACCACCCCCTCTCTTTGTCCTATTCTTGTCACTACTAGTGCCGAAGACATTTCCAACAAACAAACAAAAACCTTTACCAAAACTACTTTCTAATTAAGGATCCAACTAGAGTGCCCAAAGTGGCGACATCTTACCGTAACTCCTCCCGGGGCGTCACGCAGCGCTCGACTCTCGGCTTTTGATTCAGCTCAGTCTTTCTGCCGCCGGCATCTCCCTTCCGAGCCTCTCATTCCCGTCCTCATTCCAGCCTGGACGAATCCAGCCGTCCGGCCCACTCGTCGAGTCCTGGGAACAGGTGTTACGGTAAAACCCGTAACACCTTATTTTGCTGGAACATCTGTTCCACTACAGCCTCGCCATTTGCCGATTTCCGGGGTGAATTAGTCCTTAGCGTCCTCGCTACTCCACTGTGCTGCTCATCATGACCAACCGATTTATCGTCTCTGCTGGTCCGTCACCGAATAACAGAGCTACTCGAGAGATGTTCTGGTTCGTAATTGAAATTTTGAGAATGTGGTTGATCAGTTAAATAGTACTAAGGGGAAAAAGAAGATTTTTCGTTTTTTTTTTTTTTTTTTAAACACTGGGCTCATTATGATAATTTGAGGTATAGATATTAGGATCCAACAGATGGCAGTAGTGCAACAATAATGGATGCAAGCTGCCGTTAAAATCTAAATGAGAAGAAGAAAAAGATGTTCTGACTCATTCCATGCACATTGTGCATGGAATGAGTCAGTTGTGCGATGCACATGTAGGATGCATATGCAAGACGTAAACGGAGCAAAGCTAATAGTGTGTGCACATTTTGTTGTGGTTATAACCATTACGCCAACCGCTTGACAGAGAATGCAATAACCACCACCCTGCAAATACTCACTCGTGTGAACCATAAACACACGAGTGTTAGTCTGTATGCAGATTAAATCCTGGCATTTAATATCATAATTACCCTCAAACTAATAGAGAAACGTCCTCTGCATGGTGCTGCCACAGGCGCTGAACTTCTTCTGAGAGACTAAAGTCAATCACCAATGGTTGAAACATCACCATTGTTCATTGTGCTGCGTAAGGTTGGTCTTCAGTCACACAGCTAGTACACAGTTATGCACCTGTGGAGACCTGGTGACTAAATATAACTTATGAATTAATGCGCGGAGACGAGGGCTGATGAAGAGATAACAACCCGGTGGTCAACTGGACAAAACAAAGCAGCAGAACATCTTGAACTTCAGGAGGATACTTCCTGACCATACACTCTGTTAGCACCGACAGCAGAAGAGAGAGTGAATGGTATGTCGTTTCTTAGAATACACATTTCTGATCTGGCTGGACTGCATGGATGTAAAATAAATAAATAAATAACTCAATTATGAGTTTTGAAACTAGTAACTAACATTACATTGAGCTAAATGCCAGCATGAAAATAATCAAGAGTAATCATCATTAGGGTTGGACAATATGGCTGACTGGTGTATCACGATATAAGTGTTTCATGTCAGTCGATAATAATTGATTAGTTTTTTTGTTTTAAATATCAAATATACTTTATCCACAGTTTTTATACCGTTGCAAAACATGAAACAGATGCTGCGCAAGTTGCTCAACAAGTTGTTGCTAGGTAACTAGAAGTTACTCAACAGGTTGTTGCTAGGTAGCCAAAGAGTGAGGTAATTAGTTCATTATGCCACTAACGTTTCTTAGCTGGCATTGAGAAGTTGAGCTGTTAAAGCCTTTCCTCTGCCTACATTTCCCAGAATGCTGTGCGGCTCTGGATTGTTCAGTGAAATTACTGAAAATTGCATCAAATGTGTTACCTATTGATTTGCGTGTCTATCACAATGTATGTTGATACTGATATATTGTCCAGTCCTAATCATCACGAAATACAGAGCCAGCCTTCGGCATATGAGAGTTATGTGGCTGCTTATGGGCCCCTCACCACCAGGGGGCCCCCAGGAGCACCAAGCTAGCATAAAATAAGTTTGAACAATACAAACTAAATGCTATTGCACATGTGCAAATTGATTTCTGTATTATTTTTGTAGTTGTTACACAAAAAAGTTAATGTCTTCCTGTTCCTGTTCCTAGAAAACAAAGCTTGTAACTACTTAAATCCACCATGAGTAAATGTGAGATCAGCTGTGAAAAAGAATGCACCTTCATTGTATATTTTTGACCCTTGAAGAAAAAAAATTGCAATTCCATCTAATCTCATGACCATCAATGAAAAAAGAAAAACAAGTGTTGTCTCTACCTCTAGCCCCGACACTACGTGCTTGAAGTTTCTCTTCCCTGATCTTTACATGGTTTACTAAAACGTTATTGACAGCTTTTTCAGGAAATGACTGGATCAGGCTTCAGTTTAAAAGTTCCTCAGTCTCGTCTTTAATTTGGACTCAGGAGTTGGATTCACGATTTATTTCATTCATTAGCGCTGGTGCGCAGCATGAGACAATTATTTGAAAGTATCCCTGTCAGAAAGGCAGAATGAAGTGTCTGATGATGTGACAAGGAGAAAATGAATGACTCGGTTATCAGCTGCGAGATGTACTGATATTGGGTTATTCTGCAGTGTAAGATTGTTTAAAAAAATGTGCCTTTGACATTTTCATTCTGGTGAGTGTAAAATTAATTTAGCACTCGCAGCGTAGAAACAAATCCAAGCTGACAGCCGGCATAGTGATACAGGCGCTTACAGCCTGTACCAAATGGGTGAAACTATCTGGAAAAGTGTGTGAAGGTAAAACGTCTGGGGCCTGTCCAATTTTTTCTCTCATGGCATTTTGCTTCTAAGCAAAATGCCATTATTTTGCATCTAATGTATCGCTTGTTTGCTTTGAGTTTATGTATTATACCTGATTTTCCAACTAGTAACAAACAGCTTAAACAGTACAGTAAGCATTGTCCATCTGTTCCTGTAAGACAGTAAGCTGCCATGACTTTACAACAGATACTTTGAGGTGTCCAAACTTTTTTTGACATGGGCCAAAATCGTCAAGTTAAAAGGACTCATGGGCCATTAAAAAAGAAAGAAAGGGGTAAAGTTTATTGTTGAGCTCTCAACAATAAACTAAGTTGCAGTACTTTAATTAAACGAGTCAAGTAATCATTTTCGTTGTCATTGGAAGGGGATGTGTAAATTACTGTAGAGTCAAAATGTAAAAAAAAAAGGGTTTTGCAAATTTAGCTCATGAAAAAAGGTTTTCACTTTGCTCATTTTTAAAGGTTTCAACTGAAATGCCCTGAGCGAGCCGCCTTTCCGGTGGTGGAATGGGGAAGGGGGCGGGTTTGTTTGCATTGACAATCAGAACCTCCAATTGTAAGAGCAGGGGTTGCCACACGGTGGGTTTGGGGGCGCCCCCCACGAGACACCACCCTGGACGGTTGCCCATGTCACCCATATCAGAATCTGCCACTGCTAAGCATTAAAAACAAGATTTAAGTCACTTTTATTGAAAAATATATAGCCATGTTTCATAAATTCATTAATAGCCAATCTGGGTGCATCAAAGCCTGGCTGTTGAATACTTTGTTTTGTAGCCAAATTTTTATTAATTATTTATTGTAAGATTTTAATTTGTCTGTTAAAATTTAGCCCTGATTAAATATAAAAGGTCTCCACCTGCATCAACCTCCAGTGTATCGTTCTTGAAATTATGTCGTGGGCCGCACATTGTCAATCCAGGGGTCACAAAACAGCTCCCGATCCTCACTTTGAACACCCCTTCTTCCTCCTGTAACCCAAAAACATGCATGTTTGGTTATTGTTCTGATGACAAACTGGGAGAATTTTACATTTCCTGAGAGAAACATTTACATGCAGTGTATATTTCCGCTGCCGTACGTCTGAAAATGTGAAATTCAAACGAATTGATAATTGATCAAATTGATAAAACCCTCTCAAGCAGCTTTGAGTGTTCTGTCGTTTGAGAAAGTTTTCACACCTCTCTGCTGGTTCACAGCTCGCTGTCAGGCCTGGGTTCTCCCTGCTGCCACCTTACAGGAAGGCCCGACGCTTCCTGGAAACGACTTCCACGTTTAGCTGGTGTCTCTGAGAAGCAGAGGACGCAGACCTGTGAACAGCAACAACACCTGTGACATCACTTCCCTTTCTGGTTGTCACCCAGGTGCTGTCTCCACACATGAAACGAGCGCTTGCATTCTGGTGAAAATCGCTGGTTCACAGCATCTGGCTGAATGGGGAATGCACAAAAAGAAAAAAAAGTCTCGGTTTGGTTTAATGTGTGGTTTTATGGCTGTGATACGAATAACTTCTCATAAGTACGTATTCAGGATGTGTTGACTTGTCTGAACTGATGCAGCAGCGATAGATTTAGGAATGATTACCACACTGTTACTGTAAATGTTTCGTACATTAAAAGAAGGCTGTCTACAATAAAGTATGAGGGTATTGCAAGCAAAGCAAAAAATATCTTGATATAAAATGAAAACAATTTCTTTTTTTTAATAACTGTGCTTGTGATCTATTTTTGTTATTCTCAAAAACATTTCCAAATATTTACATATTTTAAATTTGAATAACCACACTGTGACAAACTTCTGTTATTAAAAGATAAGCTCCTTTACTGTAACCTCATAGATTTCTAATGAACAACATGTTTTATCTGCTGAACATATTATGACAGACAGTTATATTACAACCTGAGTGGTTTTTTATTTTTATTTTTTTATGCAATTCAGAATTTGGATAACTAATATAAATGTCAAATTTTAAGATATTCACTATAGTTATTCCCACATAAAAGGAGTGAAATCACACATAGAGAAACAACCTCAGGTTGCCATGACTCATTAAAGCTTCTGATACTGTCACCTTCCTACAATAATGGCTGAAGCCATTTTTTGACAAAAGTCATTTTTTGGCACAAAAAAAAATCGCCACCTCTTCCTTTCCAAAAGATGTCTCAGGTACAAAAAAAATCACTTTTGGCAAAAAATGACTTGGGTCATTATTTTAGGAAAGGATGAAATGTAGGTTGGTTCTCCAGACAGAACATAGAACCTCTGAAGTAGGTTCTATGTCAGACAAAAATCATGCTTTAAAAATTATAGCTGAAGTAGAAGTGGATCTTACAACATGACAAAAAACTAACCTGGCCATTGCCTTCCTACAAAATTCAGTTTGATTCTCATGTCCCTTCACTTCTCTCTGGTATTTCTCCCATTTACCTGGATTTCTCCAGTAGAATTTCAACCAATCAGCGAACAGAAGGAGAAATTTTGAACGATGACATTTTAGAATTGTAGTCTCCTGGTAGTTTTAATGATGTCAGCAGATGAAATGAACGTTGTTCAGTTCGTGTTGGCCACACCTCCAAATATTGAATTAACATGAAAAGCCGTCTGGTTCGCTTCTCTCTTTGAAATGGAGGATGGTTGTTTACAGCAGGCAATATCCGGTAAGCTTCATAGCATCTCGGTGGCGCATTTTACATACGGCAGGTGTTAGTTGGGT